TTTAGTTTCAACCACAATGCTTCCTTTTCTAGTCACATCTACCAGCTGTCCAGTACCCATTGCAACCTTTGCAGTCACATTCTTATCAATATCCACAAGTAAACCTTCCTTACCTGTCATATGATTGCTACATCCACTATCTAGATACCATATATCATCACTCTCTTTTACACTAGCATTTACTTTACTAGCATAAAACATGGTTGGTGTAGGAGTTACCTGTGTAGCATAGTTGAGTTGCTGCACTGGTTTCTTACTATAACAATCCTTTGCAATGTGACCAAACTTGTCACAATTACAACATTTTGGCTTGCCCTTGAATCTACACTCTCCAAAATGCAATTTACCACAATGCTTGCAAGGATTTTTAGCTTCATCAGTGGGTTTGTTATCCCACTTTTTTTCCTTATCTTTCCAATTCTTCTGATGCTTGTTATTCTGACTTCCATTTGCCTTAGCTGATTTGGAATCGACACTCAGACTAGCAAAAGCTTTCTCAGTCTTGTTCTCATGATGTCTCTCCAATCTTTGTGCAAAACTTTTCAATGAGGCAACAACCTCTTGAACATCAATAGTATCTAGATCCCTTGAATGCTCAATTACAGAACATATAGGATCATACACAGCCAGCAGACTAATTAGCATTTTCTGCACAATTCTCTCCCTGGACAACTCTTCTTCATAGCCTCTCATTTGATTTATCAGATCAAACAACTTTGTGAGATAAGCAGATAATGACTCATCCTCTCTCATTCTAGTATATTCAAATTCTCTACGAAGGCTTTGTAATTTGACACTCCTTACCTGCTTGTCTCCATGAAATTCCTGCTTTAAAATACTCCATGCTCCTTTGGATGATTCTTCATGAGAAATCCTAGGAAAGATTGCATCAGAAACAGCTCCCTGAATCAGCCCTAAAGCCTTAGCATCTTTCATCAGAATCTCTGAGAGAACCATCTTCCCAGCACCACTCGATTCCTCTTTTTCTTTCTTCTTCGCATCAGATTCATTGGTTCCCTTCGAATCTGAGCTCTCTATCCCTTTCTCAACAAGTTCCCATAACCCATGAGATTTGAAAATAGTTTTCATTCTTATACTCCAGAACTCATAGTTCTCACCATTGAAAATCGGTGCTCTCAGCTCACCTCCTCCAGATCCTGCCATGTTAGACACAGATCTTCAAGCAACGATTCAAATCGCAGCTCACTTTCTTCACAGATTCAATCGCCCAGCTAAACAATCGAACCTGGCTCTGATACCATGTTAGAATTTACAGACTATAATATGGAATATTAGCTTTTGATTTTGGATGTAAGGGAAAATGGAAAATAGAGATGAGAGATCGAGAGAAAAATCAGAAGAAGCAAATGAGCTGATTTCTATTTCACTCACGCACCCACTGTGCACATATTACTGTTAGGAATAGAATATTCCTTATTACATCAGACAAAATCTAACCATTCATTTCACTACCCTATGAGATAGTGACACATGTCATAAACTCTATGTTTTACATCTCAGTTGTCCAATTGGACTGTAATCCAATGGCTCACACTTAAGGCTGCTAAAATCAAAACTAAACAAGCTGATCTCGGCTAAAACACTTATACTTCAACATTTGAATCAAATTCTACGTTTTCTCCTTACGTAATGGGCTAGCTAACTATACCATGGTACGAATAAAAAGTTTCGGATAGGAGGCCTAGGATGCATATGGGAAGTCCCAAAAGCGACCTCATACATACCGACTTGTTTTACTACAAGCATGCTACATGAGAACCCCAAATGGGTTAAAAATCAATTGGTGTTTACAAAGAAGTGTGCTTGCACAGTTCAAAATGGTCAAACAATTAACCTACTAATTTCTTTTGGTTACATTGAGAGGAAAGAAGGTTTTGATCCTGATGTCAAGCAGGCGAGCGCCACAACCATTGTGGTAACCCGCTCGACAATTAACCTAATTAATAATTTAAGTACTTAACTATACAGCATCTTTAATAAAACAACATGCATTATAAATTATTAATGTTCTTTCAATTACTCGTGGAGTTTTATACCAAAAGCTTATGAAAATAAAGAACAGAATCTATCTTTTAGGGATTACATAAGAAGAAGCCAAAAAAAGAACACAATTTTTGGTCTCCCCTTCACATTTATATATAAGATAAAGAGAATGTTATTTACGAAAATAAATGGGGTCTCTATAACTCTTGTGTGCCTACTATTTTTTTTTTCTTTCTCTTTTTTTTATTTGATGAAAAAAGGATTAGGGGGAGGGGGGGCTATCCCATTCTGGGGTTAGGGTATACCAAAGCCTCATTGAGGACTTACAGAGGGGGTCTTAGCCTCTTTTTTTATTCTTATAGATTACCCACCAAGAGCGATTGTCAGCAGCGGGACTTGAACTTAGGCCTTAGCAAAGAGAATGATTCTTACCAACTCAACCAACCCTCGTTAGCAGGGTCTTAGCCTCTTTTTTTATTCTTATAGATTACCCACCAAGAGGGATTGTCAACAGCGGGACTTGAATCTAGACCTTAATAGTGAAGAGAATGATTCTTATCAACTCAACCAACCCTCGTTGGCTATGCCTGCTATTTCTTTTGCCAAGTCATATACAAGCCAAAACAATTTCTGAAAAAAGGTCCAAGTATATTAATATTGTTCATATGAACATATACATATCCGCCATGCCCAAGACTTTTAGCTGGTATACTTCCATAGTCGAATCCCTCAGGTCCTCATCATCTACTACTCTAACCTCATCTGCATCTCTCGTATACACTTATGATGAAGCTCTTCATGGCTTCAGCGCTCACCTCTCCTTAGAAGAACTAGAATCTTTAAAGACAACAAAAGGGTTCCTATCAGCAGATCCATGACAAAGCTGCTTGATCAAACAACTCGCACTTCCGAGTTTCTCTTCCTCAATCATATGTGATTCTACATTATTCAATAAGAATTGTCCACGTGTTAGGTTCAAAAAACACCATATATGAAGGAAGCGTGTTCAGAATATCTCACTTCAAAGAATGAAAACTTTGCATTAGTATTTAAATCTTGAACCTCTCTATTTATTATCAATTAATTTCAAATTAGTTGCATATATACGCATACTTATATACAACTAACAATTAAGAAATGTTTCTCGTCCATCAGACTGTTCATAATATGAGCCAGGTGATGTGATTGGCCAAACTGAATCACTCATGCGGTGCGGTGGGATCATATACAAACACTGAATTCTTTCCTGAGTTGTGAAATAAATTCTTTCACTGCGGGGAAAGTTTAAGCAACTGTGAGTCTACTGGCCAAAATAAAAAACAGAAGTAACTGTGGAGTCTGTGAAGATGGCGTCACATTTTAGGGTCCAAATAAAGAGGGGACAGTGATAGGCCTTGATGAGGCCACGTGACTTACATTATTACAGGGATCAGTCTGGGATCATGCTATTGACTGACATGAATGACAGGACAGCACGTGCGATGAAAACAACAGGAAAAAATAAATGAAAAACGAGTGACTGAGATGGAAGCAGTGAACTGAATTATGTGGAATTCTCGTACCGGTTTCATTTTTGGTAAATATGTTTTTTGCCCTCGGAACGTGAAAAGTTGCTCTACATTATGATTCATGAATATGTGATTGCTACTGTGGTGGTTTGTTTGTGCCTACAAGGGAATTTAAGTTTTTTTTTTTTTTTTGGGGTCTGAGGAAGAGTTTTAGGTTACTAAATGGGGAACAAGGCTAGCCTGAGTTTTATCGAATTCTAACTTCTTTCTTGGTAAGTAATAAGAGAAAAATAGGGCCAACGGGTCTAGTTTCGTGGAAAAAAGTCTTGATTTGCAGATTAGAGGTCTAAGTTCGAATCCCCTTTGCATCTTGGTTGTGCGTGTGTGACAAACCCCCTCCCGTGTAGTTTAGAGTATTGCTGGTACTTAAAAAAATTTGGATCAAATTGGTATGAAGTACTGAGAATAAAATTAAACTTTTTAAAAGCAGAATATGTATCATAACCGGTTTCTTGAATGAAACTGGAACGACAAGAGTTTGGGTACCTGAAATTATTCCCAATTGAACCACCAGGCGACAACGAAAAGATTGACATATGGGATTCCAAAACTATTGATAGCTAGAGGCTATATACATTATTATATAGCATTACTTTTGTAGATAACTTAAGCTAACACATTCAGGCACACACATTTTGCACAATGCTTAGTGATTGCTGGGCATTACACGTACCAAATTAACCAAATGCACGATCCTTTTCAAACAATCTTAAGATTAACTTCAATCAACAAAGATGTGACTACATCAAATACGTGCAGTGATTAATTATTCATTCACCCAAAGAAGATTATTAAAAAAAAAAAATTCAGGCAAACTATAAGAGAGCAAATTTCAAAGAGATAAGAGAAAACACCTTGTACACCAAAAGAACAAGTCGAATTTCAGTCAAATTTGCGAGCATTCACTTACAAAAGTTTTTTTTCTTCTTCTTAATTAATCAACATTCAGATGGGATGATAAGTGTTAAAGTATGTAATGGAAAATGATAACTTTCATGTATTTCATTGTGGTGCAAAGCATCAAATACACACACAACATTCACTAAAAAAGGCAAACAAACGTGCAGGGGCTTGTAACTCAAGTAGTTAAGAGCATTTACACATGCACCTGAGGTCCTAAGTTCGATATTCTTTCTTCCCCCAATATTGCTTGTATTCAAAAAAAGAAAAAAAAGAAGAAGGAAACAAACATTAAATCAAAAGGAGAAAATCATGGCATGATGGAGGTTGATGAATGAAGGTTGATGGAGTAGACCACACTGATAGAGTAAAATGAGGCATGATTTGGGGGCAATTAACACCAAGTTACAAACTATCTAGCTAGTCAATTAGCAGACTAGGAAAAATGATAGGAACAGACTATATATAAGTTACCAAAACTTACATGACATTACATAAACTTTGCATGAACACAACAAAATCTTCCATGTATACATTCCTATATATGTATAAGTTACCAAGCTTAAAATATAGGTATGTACTTTGGCTAGTTTTGCTCTAAACCCAGCAAGAAGGCCAATGATATATGGCTGTGTTTGGTTTGACAAAATGACAGAAAAGGTGGGGTTTTGATCACCAGATACTTAGGCATGTACATTGGCCATTTCTGGCTTAGTACTTACAAGATATAAAGCGGGAAACCGTGTTACCAAATCAGACAATGATACCTGAGCAAAAAGCAAAAGAAGAAAAGAAGTTTTGTTAGCTTAGCTTGTAATCTAATCCCTAATAATCGATGATCTGTGATTCAAACATGGAGACCAATTAGGACTCAAACTTTCAACCAAAGTTGCTTCTTGTTTTGGTCACACAAATAAGCAAACAAAGCATGGGATCTTGATTTTTCACGTCTTGATGATCCTGAAAGATCACCATTTAAATTTGTTTGCATGTTTTAATAGAGAACCTTAGCTCATAAAACAAGTTCAAATTAATCTGAACCAAACAACATGTTATGATTAAAAACATAAGCTTCTTACACTCTACCCCGCAATATTAGGACTGCAAATAACATTTACTCAGAAATTACATCGAAATATTCTTATTATACGGACAATTTTATGATACTATGTTATGTTATTAAACTATTAACTGTCGCTCTGGATCATTAACCATGCGATACTATGCTTGTCTCAATATGATAATACAAAATGCTCAATTATCAGATAAGAAAACATTACATATGTAGGCAATAATATTTGTTCACATCCACAGTTCCATCAATCTGACGAGTTTGGCGCCAATATATGGCATGAGTACCTAGTAGACCAATTAATAATCACTTCTCTATATCCAAGCAACCTTAAATATATATTATGACGTATCATGATAATCAAGTCAAATAAAATAATGCCCTCTTGTGATAAATAAATACATGCTATATGAAATAAAATATAGCAAAGACTCTTATGTACTTATGTGTGAATTGGACTTAAATCCGATCCTTGTCTTACAGAATTTACAAATTCAATGGTGAATATGTATCCTTCAGTTTTAGTATGAAGCTCCAAAGCTCCTGAATGTCGCAAACTTACATTTTACTGGTAAACAACATATCCATATCATGTTCTGAATGCACATGAAATGTAAGCATTTTGCTAATCTAGTCCTACCTATCAAACAAGCCCTTAGAGTTTTACAATTAAACTCTAGTCTGGTTATCATGTATCTTTCAATTTAAATATTAAATCTTATACCGGAGCCATGGAGAACCCCTAAATTCATAATGCACAACTTAGATTAAAAATCAAACAATGCCAAGATAAGAAAAAGATTTCGTTTTCCTTCATTTTTAATGTTTTTGTTTTACAAACAAGTGCACAAATGCAAGTATATTAATGGTTTTAACACAAGCCTTGATAACATTATAGTGTGCACAAATGCAAGTACTTCGTTTCATTTGTTTGCTTCTTTTATGTGACTCGATTGTTTTCTAGCTTATTATTTATGACTTGAACATATATATCATTATTTTATCATTAGGGTTCACGTAATACTTCACCTATTTAATGTATTTCTCCCTCTTTTGGAAACATTAAGATTGATATGACACATTGGAGAAATGGGTTGTGGATTTGCACAATAAATGAAGCGCAGCTCATATAATCGGCAAAGACCCATCTCCCAGATACGTACATTCTACCATTAGTGACTGGAAAGGGTTTTTGTGCTGCTCCTCGTCACTGCACTTCGACAGTGAGGAAAAGCTAGAAATATATTGGGGAAAACGAAAGGAGAAGAGAAAATAACCTCTATATATACCAAAAATAAACAAGTCTAAGACTGTATACATAGTGCTAGACAAATCTGACACAGGATCGATCTCTGAAAAGCTATATCCACCTAATGGAGGAATAATTTGCCAATACCCATTAAAAAACTAGAATAAATAACAAAAAAATGATCATTTTCATAAAGAGACATAGAACATGATCTGCAAAATCTATTACTAGTCACAAATTGACCTTTTATAGTACATAAATCTATGACATATATTTTATGATAAGTCTACACAGACCCTCAACTACAACTAGTACATATGCATTACTCCCACTACTGTTTGCTAATTTACCAGTGGAATCACGGAATAGTGTACGCAATACTTCAATATATGACAATCTAATTAAGCATGTTTCTGACCAAAAAAAAAAGAAAAAAAAAAAAGGAAATACAAAGGTAATGGTGGCTCAACAACTCTACTCAGAAAGCTTCATGCGCTCCTCTCGAATCCTCTCTGGAGAAATGGGGGAGTGAAAATAATAACACCGTCACGATAATGTTATTTACACTCCTGTTGAGAGGAATTGTAATGTCGTCTCAACAGAAGTGCAAATGACAACGTTGTTATGACGGTGATATTTGCACTCTTGATGAGAGGAATGCAAGAAGCGCTTTGTGGAGTGTGAATATAAGGCTACCCTAAATACCCAATAACATAGCTAAGGCAAAGAAGAGGAGGTAATAAAGACAATTATGTTTATGCTAGAGATTAAATAATGAAGATTCTGATGATCCCAAAAGACCAAACAGCTTCTTACTGATTTAGTTTGCACCAGGAGGAGCTGGAGGAGGAGTTGGAGGCAATATTGCTTGAACTGGAAGAGCACTAGTAGTACTACTACTCTGTGGTGGGCGCTTCCTCTTCTTCTTCTCGTAGCTAATTCCTCTGGCTTTGGCCTGAGAATCGCGAACCTCACGCAGATAAAGCCTCACAGCACGAGCCCCAAAGGGGTTGGCCTCAGGCTTCCCACCGTGCTCTTCAAAGGCGGCTCGGAGGCGGCCGATGAGGGCATCTAGGCTTCCCCAAGCTTGGCGCAGAGGGCAAGGGCACGGTGCAGGAGGGTTTGGATGCCCAAAGAAGGGACACAGCTGAGTGTGCACTTTGGTCTTCCCAAACTGGTCTAGGTACCTGAGGAACTCAAGCACGTGGGCCCCGCTGCACCGTGCGAGGGACAGCGGTGGCCTGTGGTTGCGGAGGTACTGCCCGAAGGTGTTCCAGTCTCGCCGCTTTTGGTTCTCGTAGCGGCTGAGAGTGGAGGATGTGGCTGATGAGGGTGAGGGCGCAGGTACTGTATTGGAGCTGCTGGAGGTGGTGGTGGTGGTGGTGTTGATGTTGACGCTTGAACTGTTTGATGCGTTGGAAGGGTTGAATTCTTGAAGCGAATCCATGGATTTGATAAGAAATTATGAACATGTACAGTGGTAGTGGAAATGCCCCAATTGAGCTGGGTTTTCAATTATGGTGAAGATAGGAGATTATATATATATATATATATATATATAGAGAGAGAGAGAGAGAGAGAGAGAGAGAGAGAGAGAGAGAGAGGTGGAAAAGAAGAGTAGGGCTGAGCTAGCTAGCTTAATATAATATAATATTTTTCTTTTTTCTTTAGCTAGTCTATGTTCCGAGGTTTCTTTGAATCTTTGTTTGATCAATCCTAGAAACCCCTTTGAAAGGCTTATGATGCGTTTGGGGTGGATTTTGTTCTTACTTTGTTTTATGGGAACATTTCTACAGATTGCCAGATATATTTTTACCGAAAAAAGGGGGAGCAACTCAGTTCCTTCCAGTCCAACAAACTCAGAGAGGAAGAAAGAGAGTGCTAATGGTAAATGAGCAAGTGGAAAGAAGTCTCAAGTGACTTCTGTGGAAATGGAAAGAGGTTGACAGTGAGAGAGAGAGAGAGAGAGAGAGAGACACAGGATAAAGGTAAAAATATGAGGGAATAACATGATTTTGTTTCTTCACCCTTTTGTATTGATTGACAACACCTTTATTTCAATGACTACTCTGCCCTCCATTCATTTACATTCGGGAACAGCTTGCATATAATGCTTCACACCGTAAGAATGGGTCTCTCGACCTTAAGCATGATTTCACACATAATGTACTAGATTATTTGAAAAAAGAAAGAGGGATGACATCTACATTCTCTTTTGTACTTTTCTTGTATGTTTTTTTATTTTAATTTTCATATAGCCTCATCTCGCAATTTGGTGTTCAGAACCACCTATTTCTATATCTTCTTTTAAAATTCATTTTTGCAAGAGATATCAACTAAATTGAAAATTGTTTAGTCATCTAATCAACTGTTTTCAAATGAATAAACAGTTTTTCGATAATGAAATGATTATGATAGTAATCAAATGACCAAAAAATTTCACCATTGTTGATTTTTAGCATGAACGATCCGTGAAGGGTGGCCTCGAAGAGTCGGTTCCGATCATAAGGTCACATTGCGGGATGAGGATGAGAAAACAAAAGTAGAATACGAAGGTAGCATTCTCAAAACAATGGATGACATGTAAGTAACCATAGGTCTGTAAAGCCATCCCATATATTGGGGGGTGGCATTTGTACTAGCATGTAAATTTGAGGGTTGTTATGGACATTCGAGAGAGCCATGCGACCCAATCCCAGCGGCGGTATTATTGTTAGGTGGAGGATCCGCATGAAATCCAACCATGTCGGAGGCCTTGGTAATTGGCTGAGATTGGAGAGCGACCACCATGAAGGTTTACTTTTCAATCATAGAGCACCGAAGTTGGGAAAAGCTGTAAGAAACAGTTTTCTGTTTAATATTCAATGAGATGATTTGAAATCCTCCACTAAATGAGGTGGTTGAGGGTATTCATATGTATTGAATCTATTGATTTGATTAACTCAAGATTTAATCCATATAGTACGGATCTGCTCAATCACCTTGTATTCTTGTACAGGGATGGATGGAGCCCATTTTTTGGTTAGGTTTGTCTCAAAATGCATACCAAACCAATACACTTTCATAGTTCAAATTGTTTCAGTTTGGTCCTCAAACTAGTATAACTGAGCCAAATTGATCTATTTAGTGACTGATTTAGTTCAGTTATCTCCCTCCATAAGCAATTAAGTAAATGACGCAGCGAGATGAGATAGGGAGATCAAATGATAACCCTAAAGTAACAATTTCGAAATCCACCAGAAAATTGAGTAAAACTCAAAGGTATTTGATTGATAATAAACTAAATTAACCGACAGAATCCATAATTGCTTCCAACTTCCTCAATCAATTAGAAAATCCCAACGATACGCCTTCCTTCTTTTCATAGCGCCATAATTGATGCTCAAGCATGATTTTCCATATTTGAACCCCAATTTTCTGATTTTGAATTTTGTTTCTTTTCTAAATTTCCTTTGTAGCAACAAGCCTATAATTTGTCCTACATCAAGTCCCTTCACTTATTAATAATTTGACCTTGAGTTCTCCTTAAAACGAACCTAAGTAGAGCTTTAATTAATTTCATAAACAAGATTAGAATATGTCAGTTGAGAATCAAACTCCGTGTATGAATTATTTTCCTCTCCAACATCAAATTTATCCATACCTTTAATTTTAGAGGAATCCAATTGTTGTTCTTCATTTTTTGGGAAATCTTCTTCAACAACAATAAGAGTTTCAATCGGCACAATCTCTTGTTTTTCTTTAATCCCTTCCTCCATCTTGTGGGTTACTATATCATCTATTAATTCAACATCCATCATAGTTTCTTCTTGTTTGACATCTTTCTCCATCTTTTCTTGACTCGCCATGATATTGAGTTGAGCAATCTTGTAACCATTCCTTAACAATTATATATCATATTCAAAAGGAAAGAATTTGTTTCACAAGAAGTCTCTTCATCCAACGCCAAAAACTGATAGGATTTTCACCTCAATGTAGGAATCCACCAACAAACTGGAATCCACTAGAAAATTAAGTAAAACTCAAAGGTATTTGATTGATAATAAACTGAAGTAACTGACAATACAATGCCATGAGTTGGCTTAAATAGAAAACAAAGAAACTCTAAAATCATTGGAAACCCTAGGTTTCAGAATATTCCTAAAACTTAGCTAACAAGAAAACAATAAAAATCCTAATTAAAATCATATCAGGAAAATAATATCTTGATTGATAACTTATTCTAAAAATAAAATAAAACATTAAAGTAAATATAAATCTTGACAAAATCCATAATTGCTTCAAACTTCCTCAATTGATCAGAAAATCCCAACGATACGGTTTCCTTCTTTTCCTAACGCCATAATTGATGCACAAACATGATTTTCCGTATTTGAACCCCAATTTTCTGATTTTGAATTTTGTTCCTTTTCTAAATTTCCCTCGTAGAAACAAACCTATTATTTGTCATACATCAGTAAATATTATATATATTCTCTTGCATTAATACCATAAATTGAACAATAATTAAGAAAACTTTTACCGTTAGATGGATAACTTGTGAGTGAGGATGTCAAATGCAATGGTTTAGAGATTTTAATTTGTGGTATTAAATGTTTGATATTGATGTGTGGGAACAACATAATGAAAAATGATATGATAGTTAATTAAAAAAAAAAGACAAGTTTAAGAAAATAAAATAAAATAAATATAGACGGTTTGATTCAGTTTAGTAAGTTTCCAAATGGACCAAATTGAAATTAAATTCATGTGATTTAGTTCGATCCGGCCAAACCAACAAACTGCTTTGATTGGTTTTGGCCGGGTTGAACTGTTCAGGTAGTTTTTGCCCACCAAATGTGACCTTGGAAATTTTACGAGTTTACTAAAATTTCAGACTTCCGGTTTCATCGTTTGTATGCTTGCTCCCATTTTTCAACATTCAATGATTGAATGATTTACCTTGTTGTATATAACACGACTTCTTTATTTGGATTGTCAAGCACTCAAGAAAGAAGATTGGAAATTTCTAAGATGATGCCATATGTTATATGCTTTTCCTCGTCTGCGATCTATCATATGTCAAGAATCAAATATGCTGATCTATCTTTCATGTCAAGATCCATTGATATGAATGAAAGGAAATTCCAATGTGGGATTCAGACAATCATATATAGTCAAGACGTACAAGTTATTTTCATATGAAAACGAGTGATTGGATTCAACTAAGGAAAGGAAGGTGATAATCAACCTTCCCCGACCCAAAAAAGGGAAATGAATGGGATAAATTTTGCTGTTAAATTAATAACATTTATCAACCTTTGTGCATGTATGATGACTTATTAACCTACGAATAAAGCCAAAGAAACAGTGTAATTACTTTATTCAAAGATGCACTCATGGGTCTTGAATAAGTGTGATGACAGAATTGACTCCCCATGCCACTATTATTATTGCTTTTATATATTTGTCCTTTTAAATGTTCTCCTTGTTTTTTATTTCTCAACTTCTGTTTTTTTATTTTTTTCAAACTATATATGATGAAGTTCAAGTAAGGCTTGGATATATAGGTCGAACCATTGCAGTTGTAATTGTTTCATAGCAACATATCAAATTGTGACACAATTACACCTCAAATCGTGACACAACATATCATATAGGTCGAACCATTGCAGTTGTAATTGTTTAAGATCTCGTTCGTTACTTAGAGTTTTTTTTTTTTTTTTTGAAAAATTCTAGGATTACATTAATAATTCAGCCAAAAAAGCCACTAACCACAGATAGTCATTACAATAATGGAGCGGTCTAACATCAAAATTAAGACAATTTGGTGCGCCTCCACTAATGATCACGTAGGATCGAAGAAACTCTGGCATAGGCATCCCAACTAAAATTGCAAACTCAAAATTTAAAAAAAAAGAAAAGGATAAAGCTGGAAAAAACCAAGGCATTACAATACAAATAAAACTCTCACAAAGAATGGATGAAAAGCTCTCACAAAAGGAGAGGTGAAAACTACACAAAGAACCCAAAGAGTTTCTGTGACTTATTCCGAATATAAAAATTCTGCAAAAAGGATGGTGGTGAAGATCCGACGCCGAAACGCATGTGGAGATCCGACTCTGAGATGCAGCCACCTGTGATTGTTAGAGGAAAATCATAACAAAACGAAGACAAATAGGGAAAATATTTTATCTCTGGAAATGAGGGAAGAAGAGAAGAGGGGGAGAGGGGTTCTTCCTCCCTCAAAATAAAAATGGCTCTATGAAGGTTTTTTGGGAGAGAGGAGGTTAGGGTTTTCGTTACTTAGAGTTTAAGGTTTAGCATTTAGCTCCCCTATTTTGAATCATAAACTCTAAAATGACACCACTGTTACACCCGAAAGTAATGAATACTAAATTATATGTCATAAATCTTTTGAACCATACTAAATCCTATACTAATCAATCCCAATAACTCATAATAAGCCTTATAAACAATTTAAAAACCTATTGTAATTGTGTCCAAGAGTACGGGTACTAAATGGAAGAAGTTGGGTGCTACTAAGGAATTGGACTCTTACTTGGGGTTTTCAATTTTAGTTTTCTGTTTTTTTTTTTTAATTTAAACTACAAGGGGGTGCTGTTTCTCACACACATTACTAAGGCGTCATGAGGGTTTGAACTTGAGACCACTGGTCTGTAAATCAAGGCCTTTTTCCACTAGTTTGCAATTTTAGTTTTCTTTTGTTATACCAAGAAATTGGCTAGAAAGCATGTCAATACAAATTCCATTAACACAAGTTTGGTATGCATTCTATACTATCTCTTGGCTACTCTCATTTTCTTGTTATTCATCATAAGAATATATTTGACATTTTTTAATGATCAAGGAAAAGAAAATGTTCAATATTTTTATTTTCTTATATAGGCGACATTGTCAAAAGGGGAATCAAATGAAGAACTTCGGGTGGCGGCAGGGCCCCCACAACCCACATGTAGTTTAATATATAAAAATAATAATTATATTATAATATATTAATATAACAATAATTAGTAATTTGAAAATCAACATTTGGTTTCCCGTTGAATGATTTGTTTAATAATACTTTATAGTATTTTTTTTAAAAACTGTTAGCGATGAGTTTTAGTTGTAAATTTATCATTTTGGCTCAAATATATATATTTTTAAATATTTTCGTTCAAGACTTATATTTAGAAGATCATATTGTTGTTTTGGCACATCGCCTCTAAAATCACAGAACTCTCTTGATATTCTTAATTACTTGAGTTATAAGTCATTTACCAAAAAAAAAAAAGGGTTTAATTGTTAAGAACTCCATTCATAATTTCATAAAGGGGAAATTATACATTGCACCACTTCTAGCTCACCCACACACATTCCACATTGCACATACATCACCGTTGCTAGGTCTAAGAAGGGAAGTCAATTAAAAGTGTGGAGACATTAACAACAACATTAATATGTTGCAGGCATCAGGCTTGCCTTGTCCAACATTTTGATTGATATTTGATTTGCAGAATCAAGTTTCAAAATCCAAAAAATAAAAGAAAAAAAAAATCCCAAAATTCGAATTCTCTCCTCTTTTTCCTTCCCTCACTCTGTCACTCACACAGTTGAATATACTAAGAGGTGATTAGAGAATTACTTCGATTACACGCCAACTAATTAAACGTGTAAATCTTCATAATATTCGAGTTAGTACAAGCATGATTACATGTGTTGCTTCTTTAATGAAAGGGTTAAACTTCAATTTTACAGCAAAGAGATATCAAAATAAAGATCCGGGCAGGGGTACCGGGCAAAGAGCATATATAGCTTCCTACCCGCATTTTCCCTATTTCCTTGTTCTCTTTTATTGAAAAGAAAAAAGCAAAGTAACTTGCATAGATATATCATGTCTCCATCTTTTCAAGTATGGGACATTATGTGAAGTAAAGGTTAACTTTCGACAAAACTAAACCATTTTTAAATTGCAAACATGGAATTTACTCTTCTTGGGTGGTAGTAGGTGGTGTAAATTCACAGTAGTGAACCAAAAGTTTCATTCAAGGGAATTCGGAATTACCGATGCACTGTATATGTATGAACACAATAGAATCTTTACGCTATAATGTAACGAGGAATTCTTGTTTAGACTCATTATCATTTATTGGAATCTCGAGAAATAAGAAAACATCTTTTAAATTTATGGTTTATGGTGGATCCCGCACTTTATGTGTGAGATTCTGACGCTAGCAGTAAAAGATAAATAGATAATTTAATTTAAGAAACTCACCGATTCCAATTACTTTTTCGGTTTGAAATCTTATTTGAACTTTAGAGAAATGTTTTTGTAATGGAGCATGCTTGTGTTGACTAGTTACAATGCATCAAACGATCACAAAAATGTGCGTTAGGGTCATTGTTTACCATGAGCCTCACATCTTCAATGAGAGAATTCAACAATAATATTCGTGTCAAAGCTGTTTACATACAAGGCGTGAGACTTGCCGTGACCAATGAGCCAATCTGCCAATTTCTATTTGGCTGCCAATTTCTTGCTAGCTCAACGAGTGGTTCTTGGAAGGTAAAAAGAAAAGAAGGTAAGAAATCGCCAAACTTGCATGTACCACAGAGATTCAGGCCTAGCTTGCATGTACCACAGAGATTAAGGCCAAGAATATCATTCTCTCTTAGATTCTTAACCAATTTCAAATCTCATAAGCTCATCTCAAATTCAAGTCACAAACGACCTTTAGCTAAATAAAATTAAGCCTAATCAACTTTGGCCATTGAACAAAAACAAAACCCTAACTAATTAGCAATTTACTGATGAGAGAGGTAAGCGAGCCCCATGCGTTAGTAACACTTTTATAACCTTAAATGTAAGTCCCATGGAGGTTTAATGAGTAATCGGTTGGAAAATCTGTGACATGATGATTACAATGGAAGCTTTAGCTCGTAGGCTCACAAGATGTGTGGTTGAAAAAAACCCCTACCATATTATTCTATAATTTCTCCACGAGATGTGGGGTTTATTTATCTTAATTATGCTTTAGTATTTGACCAAAGATTTGGCACAACCCCAGCTCTTTACTAGCTGAGCTACCCAGTGTAACTCAAAATTATAGAGTTCAAGAAAATTTGCTATTGAGTGGAATTTCTTGTTCCAACCACACAAAAGCAACGGAATATGCTATAACTAGCTAGCTAGCTAGCTTTTTTTTGGGGTCAGAAGCTAGCTAGCTAGCAAAGGAAAAATAATAATAATGAAACACGACCATCCATTAGGTCTTTTGTGGTTGACAACCATATTATATATAAAAGAGTAATGGATTTCTGGTGATGATGAAATATAAATGTACATAAATATTTCTTTGTAGTTAAAAGGTGCAACAAATGTAGTAATTGGACCCTGCTGCCATGGCCACCCGTAACAAGCTAGATTCCTAAGATACTTTAATCATATGCATGGCTCATAACTAGATCACACTGTCTTTTCTTTTGGCATTCTCAAAAGGACATGGCTTTCCTCCTTCCCACGAAAGAGACATTCCTACTTATTGTAAATTGTAGTTTGATACATAAGCAAAAATAATTCATCAAAAACACAGAAATAAAAATCTCTACACACATGTCAAATTGGGATTGGCAGAAAAGTAAAGTTCCTACTCTCAAAGCAAGTATTTTCCTTCTCAAAATACAAAACCCAAAAAAGAAAAAAAAGAAAAAAAAAAAAAAAAAGTATTGGCAATCAAGGAAACGTAGCTATCCAGCATACCACCAATAGTTTGTGGCTGACAAGCAATCCCCCAACATGGACATGGGACCCTACAACTACAACGCACTGCCCATGACCTCACATTTGGTTAAATGCTTGGCGTCATGGAAAGTTAGGAACAGCACAATTTGAAACCAGTCCCATTTTCTTCAATTTTTTTTTTTGCCAATGCCATATGATATTTGATAATTTGCAAAATTTCAACTCTTTAAGAATATCATAAATTGTGGTCCTATATCAGTCTGATGAAATTCATTATATTTATGGTGGATGCTGAAATGAGTTGGGATTATGTAAGGTTTGATTTTCTTCCATTGAAACAAAAAAATAAATAAATATAACAAACTATTTAAACTTAACTAGTTTAAAGCTTCAGAAGTAAAAAGAGTTCGTTCTCCCTAATTTCAAGGAGTAAATCCTATAGCTTGAATTCATTGAAGACCCCAAAAAGTATATTTGAAAATATACCTTTTGGGAAATGCATATCATTTTCATATACAACTTATAACAATGAAAAATCAAAATTAAGAGAGGCTGCTGTCTCACTGATACTTAAGAAAGCATGGTGAAAGGTTTACTAATATGTGGTAATAATATGTACAGAAAACTCAGGTGGGGGTCCCAACAAGAACTTCATCTATTAATACAAACACAAGCAGCTTCTTTACACACAAAAAAGAATACAAAGCTTCATGGTGTTCAAGTTGCAGTAACCATGTAGAGCTTCATTATATGCTGGTTCGAGGATCATACAGCATACAGCCTTACGATCTGGTCAATCTTGGCCCGACAGACAGGGCAACCCCATTTCTTAGCTTTAATCTCACCCAAACAAGACATGCATCCAGCCATATGCCCACATGGGATGCAAGCTCCTTCAACCGGAGCATCCAAACAAATCACACAAGAAGAAGAATCACTTCCACCTTTCTTTTCATTAAGTTTAGCAGGTATACCTTCAACACTTGGGGATGGCATATCAATAGGACTGAAATCAATTGATGGATAGTGAATAGGCTCCTCATCTGCAACTGGTGGAGCTGATGGGATTATATCTGGAGTAGGAGCTGTTTGGATGGAAGAGATATCCTGGATTTCCGTTTTCTGGCTACTTTCATTCCCTGGCCACTCACTGCTACTACTTGCATTTGGATCAGCAGTTGGTGCATCCCAACCATTATAGATGCCAGTATTCATGGAGGATGTGCTCCAACCATTATCACTACTGGATGCACTTGCTTCATAGGTCAGGTGTGCATCAGGAAAGGACGGTCTCTCCTGCAAAGCAGACTGAATGGAGGCATTGATAGCCATGTCCAACTCTAAATCTTCTGCAGGTGGTGGTGCAGTTGCTGGAACAACTGGGGGCTGGTTGTTAGCCAAAAATGCAGGACGTGCCTGAAAAATTCCACAAAATTTAAATTATGATAGCCTCCCAATCATCATGCCAGAGATAAAATGGTGACCTAAAAATTTAGCGAATCACTAGTCTGCAAGATAAAATTTACAGAGTTTCTATTTCGACTTTTAAGATAAATGATTGCAGTGTTTGTAAATAAGCACTCTTTTCCACATTTTCTATCCGCAGCCCTTTGAGCATGACAGTAGAAAATGTCTAAAAGAGTGCTTATTTACAAACACGATCATCATTTTTACAAAAGAATAAATTTCTTGAGAAAACTAATGATTTTAGTACTTCAAAAGTACTTTCACGGTTCTACCCACAAATTCGTCACATTTAATTATCGAGGTGATTGCTTTAGACAGATGGCAGAGAAAGATAAGATCTGTGCAGATGAGATTTACCTGTGGAATTCCTTTGCATGCATTGCAAAACCACTGAAGTTGTTGCTTATCATTTTCATCTGCAGATGCAAGTTTGATGCGTGTTTCTGCAAAGAAGGCATGCTGAGTTTGAATAGGATATTAACAAAAGAAACCTAAAACTCATGAGGAACTTCCTTTTCTTCCTAGCTAGAAGGCAAGCCTATTATAGATAGGAGGCTGGAGAATGGCATGAGTACATTACTGCAGCACTTAATTTGGAAGATACTGGAAGATGTCCAATATCTTCTGTTAAAGTGCTTCTTCAATCACTTTCATCATTTACATTGATCGGAAGTAATTAACAAACAATGTACTTACGCCTAACTTTTTGATGCCTACACCTAGCCTCTTGGGAGATGTAAATGCTTCTTCTCCGCCTCCTGCCTCTTGGGACTAAGCATGGACATAGAATTCAATTAAAAAAGGGCTAGGAAATGAATGTGACATCAACTCCTAGATTTATAGCCTAAAGAATTAAGGTTTAAAATTAGTCCTAAAGAATATTTTTGGAATCAAGGAATTACTTGTGGAGCTATCATGAATTACAACAGAAGGATCAGACTGGTGTAACTTCGGTTCTTCCAAATTGACTTTCCACAACGCAACAACTGTCCGTGGTCGGGCGTCCTGCTTATTCCAAAAGAGTTCAATATAAGAATACTACCAAAATAAGAGATCCATTAGTTAATTAGATCCATCAATGAACTTATCGTCAAAATATAAAACAATGCAGAACATAGAAACAAAGTGCACCCTAAATACATCAATCTAGAGTAGAGAAAGGTAGATAATTGATTTTGGACAACTAATTCTATTAAAATGTTCGGGTAATAGGAAATGAGCCAACAGCGTAAATCAAGCTTGCATGCAGAGAGACAAGCTAGCCTTTCAAAAGCTTCTCAACCAAGAATCACAGTAGAGAGCTGAGAGTAAGAGTTGAGTGGGAATGTACTTCGATGGAACTTGAGTAAAGAGTATAGTAGGAGGTATTCGGAAGAATATACAGTTCAAGTTAGGGAGTACCTATTGAGCAGAAACTACTTGAACTAGTTTGCTTTCTCTGAAAGTGAATTTGATTTCACATACTTAACTTCTTGGCATTATTATTTTATTTTTATCATTCCCATCATTATTTGTCCTGACTAGGAGTTTTATACCCCCACAACTGGTAATAAACCAGGATTCAACTTTAATCCTAACAAGAAATATTAGCTCCAAATTTAAAATTGAGAGGTTTGATGGAAAGGAAAGTTCTACGATTCGGCAAAGAAGGGTAAAGGTCATCCTAGTTCAGTGGTGAGACTACCAACTCACCAACTTCCTAGGGGAAGTAACATGATTATTTGTTATGAGTTATACAAAAAGAAATATTAAATGGTGAAGTCATTTTATTTCAAGTATTAATTAGGACATAGCATTCCAAGTGCATAAACTTTAAATGATTGAGAAAATTATCACGACGTGACAGCACTATAAATTAATGCCTAATACATCTTCAATCCTAAAAAGAGGCATGAGCTCGGCAATTAAAATGATGGCGAAAATAAAGATTTAAGAACATCTATTATAAAAAAAAAATAGTATTCATAGAAATTATCCAATTTCAGAAATTAGCCATCAGATTTAACTCATCCAGACATTCATGTAGGTTTTGAATTAAGCAAGTGCTATTTCTTTTAACAAAAATAAACTCAAATTAGTGTCCAGGATATCTGCAAGAAACCATTCAATGTAGCCTACATTAGGAATGACTTGAATGCAATGTATTAGTAGAGGCACAAAATGTAGAAAGAAGTAAAATCATACATAATGCATAATCCACCTAAGAATAGCCGACTATACTGAGTAATACCTGCATACTAGAATATATGGCAAGTTCCAACTTGAAAGGCTTGGTAGGTTTGCGGGAACCACTTGGCAAAACAACAACCCAACTGCAAAATATGCAAGGCAATAGTAGGCACGCATATTAAGTGATCTTTCAGACAATTACTCAATAAGGATACAAAAATAGATAAAACAAATGAGAGCTATGTAAACTTCTTCAAAGCAGGTCAAAGCAATCTGCCTATATTGCTTAGACATCTTGCTGAATAGATCATGAATAGAAAACTAAAACGACTAAATATAAATACTTCAAGATGAAATCACTTGTTGTACATAACACTCACACTTTTCTTGAAACCAATAGAGGAGCAAGTACTTCAAGAAATCCAGGACCATAAAACTCCCGCAACCAACCAGAGAATAAGCAAATATGCCTCTACAAACATTGGGAAAGAAAGGAAAAACGAAAGAAAGCAAGAGATGTAAGAGTGAAGAACCATCTTTAAAAGAAGACAATTAAAAACATATTGTTGGAACGTAAAAAATATGCATATACTGACATTGCAAACTAATGTTTGAATATACCTCAATCGCACGGACAACATTGGTGTGCCCTTTTGCCCTAGCAACGTCAAGAGGAGTTTGACAGTCATCATTCATGATTAACACATTTGCTGAAAAAAATTTGAACAGATTATATATTTATGCAATAAAGACAGCAGGAAAAGAAACTGCATTTTTTATTCTAAAATCATAAGTCATAAACTCCTTTCTGAATAAGACTTTGCAGAGATGAATTGATGACAGAATTGCATACCTCCATGTGACAGAAGTAAATTAACAATATCTTCTAGCCCTTTTTTAGCTGCATGATGTAGAGGAGTCCCAGCATTGCGACCTAAAGCGCATTGAGAAGAGGACAAATATAAATAATAATAAAAACATTGAAGCAAGCTAAAGATCAAGATGCATGAGTATATAATAGCATTTCTCAAGAATACTGGGAATTACAAGATGAGTTTCTTATACGTTTGGTAAAACACAATAAGCAGCAAAAAGTTTCTAGGGAGGAGAGAGAGATCAGAAGAAATAAATGTAATCTTAGTGTTCCATTTTCTGTACTGGAAATTTTTTTTAGTACAACAGTAGGACTTAAGATCCATGGTGCTATTGCCATTATGATTGTAGTATACATGTGAATCCAACATGAGTTCCACATAATCACACAATATTTGGAGGGAGGATTCAGACTTAGAATCTGCATTTGGTACAGTTCCTCAATATCTATGACCACAAAATGCAAATTTGTTGTTAATTTTCAATAACCATTCTTTCTTCTCCCTATACAATTACTTAAAATTCAACATGATCAACCCAACTAAGAAATTATCAAATTGCAATTAATTTATTAACAAGAGTGATAGTGATAGGAAAAAAAAAACAAAATACAGAAGGTTCGCCAAGAGAAACTCTAAACCCAGAAGTGAAACATACCGGGGCGATAGGCGTTGACGTTTGCGCCAAGTTCAATCAAGGCTTTCGCAACATTATAAAGTCCAGGATTTATACATGCCAAGATCAATGGGGTTTTCCCCTCTCTGTCAATCCACTGACCACCAAAATCACCATAATCATCAATAATTCAACAAAAAGTACCCCAAAAATCCAAAATTTACAACAATTATCACTACCAATAAACACATCATGATTACAGTTTTAACAATAATCGAAATTAACCTCCATTTTAAATACCTCAAGGCCTGCGCCTTCTCTGCAAAGGGCTTTGATCCCTTCGATGTTTCCATAGCTAACTTGCTGATAGAGCAGCTCGTCTTTGGATTGCTGTAGCCCCATCGAAATCCCACTAGGAACTGAAATAACCTTGCGGGTTTTGGAAGCAAAATTTGAGGGGCGAGGGTTTTGAATCCAGAAAAACTAGAAACTAAAAAATTTTCCAGGAAAATCAGGACGGATTCCCTGGAAAATGGATGGAAAGTGTTGTGCTTTCTACGGAACTTGTTCAAAATGGAAATAAATATAAACAATTCCTTACAAATAATGAAACAAGTGGATGATGAAAATTAATTGAATTCGTTTCCTTAGCAACGAAGATATTTTTTATAGCGAAAATATTGGTAAATTAGCAACCAAGATTTTAAGAGTCAAACTCTTTATTTTACTTTATAACATATGAAGGTCCTTACAAAATACTTTCTACAACGAGTCATAGTGTATTATTGGACACAATTTTTTAAAATATGTTGAAAAATTCGGTAATTATGTAATATTTTAATATTATTTATTTAAATTTTATAGTGTATATTTGTTTTATTTAATAATATGTGAAAATACGTGATTTCAACCTATTTTATTGAAAATTTAGGGGGAAAAAATAACATTTGTTATACATGAGGAATATGTATAATTCGTGAATTGTCTGTTTGATTTAAAATAATATGTATTTTATCATATTTTTATGACGTATATGAAAAACGGAAGTATGTTTTAATTAAAAAACATATATATTTATATAATATATATATATATATCATATGCGAATTTACTAAATATCGAACTCAACACAAATATAGACAATTGCATTGATGAGAGAAGTGAACTTGAAAATTCACTCATAAGTATCACTGGTTTGTTTAAGAGTCAAACTTCACATAAGGCCAAACTTGGTGCAACTATTTACATTTTTTTTTTCGTGCAGTTTAGTTCAGTGTTCTTTTTTTTTAGCCATCCATGACAGTACTTTTGTTTTGATTATTGCCTCTTGGACTTGTGTCTGCACAACACTTTTTCATACATGTCATGTTAAGGTGATTGTTGGTGGAATTGATTGTTGGGAGAGGAGTTTTACACAAATATTTATTCGGGGTGTTTGGGGGTTTCGAATCTCTGTACACATGGATGTAATAGCTCGACCAACTGAGCTATACCTTACTGATAAGAAATGGGTGGCATTAATAGGGTGAAATGATATTGCCAACCACCTTAAATCTAATCATTTTAATAAAGTCATACATGCTTTATTGAATTCAAACCGTGTTGTTTAATAATGAAAAATAGGTGACGTTTATAACTCTAGTCTCACCTATGCATATGAATATTGAGGTCGAGACTTTGGTTGGCCTTGACCGACTTGGATAGATAACATTAGTTGGATTGGAGACAAAGGACAATACCAAGTTGGGTAAGAAATCGGATGGCCTTCCTCACAACTCTCACCAAAATCATAACTCTCAACCAGTACCTGTCCACACGAAACTCATAACTCATGATTTCCAGAAGAGGCATTTGGATTTTAGAAAGTGAAATTGGTAAAAAGCAAAGGAATTTGTAGTAAGATACATCCTTAGATAAAATTGGTCTAAGATTATTGAACATATATAAAGCATATGAAGGTGCTGCTGCTAACTATGTAGAGGCAACTAGTGGTTTTTCCAGCTTTTCAATCTAATGTTACTTAGGTGAATATGATTTCTTATTAATTAGTTTTACCTCCCAAATTGATAGCAGCACCTCTAGTAGTCAACAGGTTCATGCAAAAACTTCAATTTAGTGATGTCTCTAAGAGTATTTAAGCTATATAAATCGACCGACGGCATATAAGCATCGTAAGAAGTTCACTTACTACACAATTACAGTGGTATCAGATGCCAGAAACAGCACAGAAAGAAAGAGATCACCAGTTTAAATTGAATGAATGAATTATAGTGAAGCTTTCATGCCTTTAAATTGCAAAACTCTCACATTCTGACCTGTCCCTCTGAATATGAAGTATGTTCCCTTCTTTTTTTGTGGTGAAGTAGAACTCCTCTCAATCATTCCTCTAAAAAGAAAAAAGGTTCTTGATCTATTTTGTTCTGAACAAAGATATGTTTACACCTAAACTGATTCATACAGTGCCACTCTAAAGCAGATTCTTGATCCTACTTACCCACTTTCTAAACCGTAATGTAAGAGACTAAGTTATGAAACTATGTAGTGGAAGGTGAGGCTGCCTCACTGTTTTCCTCAGCAGCAGGTACAGGACTGCTGGGCGGTAGACTTGGGGAAGGACTTGCCCTTGCCTTCAGCTGACTGTATCTCTTAAGCAGCCTATCTTTGTTATTTGTCCACCATTCTTCTGCCTGTTGCGAACTAAACTTTCGTTTGCTGCAAGAGATATTGGAGATTGGTAAGAGACAATTAAAAGAGAACGGCATTAAAATGATCGAAGACTTGGGGATACATTGCATTGTCATAAATAACAAATTAACTTGAGGAAATGAATGAAGTGTGCAGGTGCAGAAAATGTGACTCCTAGAAGAAACACACAAGTGCAGCCCCACTATGCACCTTGAAAATCAACATAGCAGTGGGGAATGAGGACCATAAGTTTTGAACTCAGGACCTCCTACACGAAGAGCTCTGATACCATGTTAGAGAACCATTTGACCCAAAAAATTAAGGGTCTATTGGCTGTCTAACACAAACACATAATTACTGAATTTTGAAAAAAGAAAAGAAAAGTTTACCTGAATTTAACACGCCTAAAAACCCTAGCACCATTTTGTAGTTGAAGGAGAGTAACATAAACACCCGGTTCAAATTGTTCAATGACTTCCTTCTGTCCTGACCGTATTGTTGATGATTCGGGTGATCTCAAGTGGCTTTCTGAGCTGTTTTGAGGTTCAGCCTCCCCAGGGTCTTCTCCTTTGTTGTCTTCCGTTTTAGAAGACTCAAAATCCAAGGAAGTTTTATCGGCCGCATATTGTTGTTCAAGTTCTAAGCTTGGTCTTCCGATACTTGTGTTAATAAAATCTTCAGCTTGAGTACGCAATTCTTTGAAAGTATCACTGTCAGAAACCTCAGGAGGCAACTTCTCTTCCCATTCTTTCATCTGCGTGACAAAGAAAGAACACATAACATCAGCATATTTCACCTCAATGGGGGCAGGGGGTTGAAAAGAGCAGATGATTATCTTTTCAATGCCATTGTTATTCTGTCAAGGGAAATATTCATGCGACAAAGATTTTCCTTTATTGAAAAGCTAATTTACCCTATAATTACAATAGTATTTCAGAGACAGCACCAGGCATTAGTAGTAAACATTTGGTGAGTACGTTATACCATATAGAAAACCTTATTTAATGTTTTTAATTATTGTTATGACTACATTACCCCATCTTATTGCCAGGAGCATCTTCTCTACACAAAAAAATGACAATTGGAATATTGAGAAAATTTAATAAACCTGTTCTGTGATGGATTTGACGAGTTCTTTGGCAGCTCCGCACTTAGAATATTGCTCATCAGCTAATGAACCAGCTTCTTTAGCATGTTTCTGTAGTTTCTGTATCTCTACATCTTGAGCATCACACTTGTGCTTCAGACTTTTAACCTGAAGTAAACGGAGGAAAGCTTACTGAGAGAAGGCTTCTTGGCTTTGACATTTCTATACCAACCAACAAAATGATGCAACAAAAAGGTGTAAAACTAGTACCTGGTTTTGCAACTTCGATACTTCTTGAGTCAGAATGTCATTTGTCTTCTTAAGACTGTCAATAACACTCCTAGAAAATATAGGTGTTACAGACCGTGGAGGGCTTGGTCTCCTTGAATATGGTGAACTAGATCTTGAATTGGGCTGAGGAGGTGTTGTCATAACAGGCTTCAAAGCATTTTGAAGCGCACTCAATGAACTGGGAAAAGCCATATCTTTTAGTTGTAAAAGGGATGGAACTTGGGAAGCCCTGACTATAGAAGGAGATTCCGATCTGACCCCAGGCTTTGTCGACTTGACCTCAAGATATTTAATGGGTTCTATAGTGGGAGAAAGCAGAATCCTTGAAGATTTTATATCTCCCCTGTTTAGAAAATCCCTGCTATCCATTGAACGGGTGACTGTAGCTCTCCTACTAACATTAGAAGAATAACCAGCCTCAGCAGCTTTAAGTTTTGTATAACAAGCATCACATACACGATGTGGTTTTCCAGGAGTGGGGGCCAATGCTGCTCTCAGTGCTTTTTTGGAACTACAAGCATGACAATGGACCAGTCCACAATTATAACAATTATGCCTCTTTCTAGTAAAACCAAATGTCTGTCGACAACCTGAGCAAATTGATTGATCAGCTCCAGAGACCCACTTATGGATGCATATACTTGATGTGAAGTTTGAGCCACATGAAATGCTTTTCACATGCCTATCTTTCAGAGCTTCAACCAAAGTTGGAGTTTTCCGGTCTTCTGCATCCCCGTGTCCCAGCCTTCCGTTAGCACCTCTTCCCCAAGTGAATACTTCACTTCTTGATGTCAGGACAGCAACATGATATTCCCCACATGCAATTTCTTCAACAAACTCACCAACCAATTTATCCTGTACTAGGCAAGGTACTCTCCCATCAGAACTTGGATTGCCTAGCTGACCATATGCAGTGCCACCCATGGTAAACACATGACCTGATGTGGTGAGGGCAATAGTCATAGTGTGTCCACATGCTAGCTGGTGGAAATTATAGTCAATAAGGGAAGAGACACAGGTGGGAAGAAGATAAGTATCTTTGCTTCCATGACCTAAACGATGTTTGTCACCATCACCCCAGGTGAACAACTTTCTGGATGAAGCATTTGGACCAGACTGGCCCATAACCTCTACAATAGCTGCAGTATGCCAAACTCCGCATGCTACTTTTATTGTCTTTAGTCCATTCAATAACTGTACCTCCCTTGGATATGGAACACTCTCTCGATCTCCATGACCCAAAACACCAAATGCTCCATCTCCAAATGTAAACATTTTTCCACTGGAAGTTGCCAAAGCTGAATGCCATGCGCCACATGCAACAGATAGAACCTGAAGTCCTTCTAAAGGACCAGTAACCCTTTTAGGGATCCAGTGGCTAACATCAGTTCCATGACCAAGAAGTCCAGCATTATGTGTACCATCACCCCAAGTAAATAAATCACCAGACGTAGATACAGCACATGTATGATACTCGCCACATGCAACAAAATCTACATTATTAGTTGCAAGGAACTCAACAAGGCGAGGACGACTAAAGTCTCTATCAATCCCATGACCAAGTCTTCCACCAGATTCCTCTCCCCATGTGAAAACCTCACCTTGCCTTGTTACAAGAGCAACATGTCGCACACCACAAGCAATCTGATGAACATCAAGAACAACATTCGACTCCAAGGGCCTTGGAATCAGCACATCCGTTTTTGTAGGGATTGGATTTGCAGACCCATCAGATACATTTCCATCAGACCAGATCTCTCCCCACACATAAACGTCTCCTAGTGATTCTATGTCATCAGGTCCAGACCCTCCACTTGAACAGCTAGGAGTGCTTGAAACACTAATCCGAAAACCATCTCCTGCACTTGTTCTTAGTTGCATATTTGCACGTTCTGAACCCACATCTGAGCCTGAATTCACTGATTCACGAGAATCAACTGATACCCTACCACGGGCAATGCTTGAAGCGAACTCTAAGGTCTCACCAGAAGGACGGCCATTAATAGAGTCACCACAGTCTTGCAACTGAAATTAAAGCAAACAACTAGATTGGATCTTCAGAAAGAGTATGAATGCAGAATAAATCTGGTAGACCAAGAAAATTGTGTAACATTCACTTTGCAAATATGAGTGCTGGTGGTTTCTCATAGTGCATGAATTGTATGAAGGAAACCACCAAATATATTAATGCAAAAATGATAGAAGTTACATCACAATGCACACTATTGTACCATTCAAATTTTAACTTATATATAATTATATCTTAGAAAATCTTCAATTGATAGTTCTGATCAAAGATTTCTTGGCTTTTTAACTATCCTTTTGATTCCATAACTTACAATTCAGATGCTCCACATGTTAAAGCTTATATGCAAGAAAACTTAATCGTTGAACATGAACTCAGTTTTAATGCAATAATGTTATCCATAGTTGAGAAGATGTAGTTGAACCATGGAGACCACTATTACATTAATAAATCACTGAGTTCATGTTCAAAACATTGCCAAAACCAATCTGCAAATGATATAATTTAGTAAGTATAAGAATAAAGATAGCCAGTTACATAAGAAATATAAAATGGTTGTCATGCAACTTTGGAGCAGATTTTTTATACCATCTCTAAGTATTTCACCAGAAACATTCAGCCCTTTCAAAAGAAAAACTGGGATCAACTAACCTATTATACTCATTTCAAAATTAACCATCTAGACATCGATGTTATTTCAAAGGCTTGCATACTCCACTAGTTTTCTAGATTTAAATTAGTAATTAAGGTCAGAATATAAGGGACAAAGAGCAAGTACTGGGAGATAAAAAGAGCGAGAACAAACATAAGCAGTCATATATACATTTGGTCAAAACAGAAACTTACATCAGAAATATCACTCTTAGTACGTCTACCACGTTGTTGTCCAGAATAAATTAGCGCCTTAAGGCCAGCAAACCATACCTCTGCCTCAGCTTTATCCTTGCAGATCTACAACAATAATTTTCTGGGTTCAAACCTTTCATCTAACTGACCATAATAGAAAAACTTGAAACTAGTACTTTAGTACTTGATTTTACTGACCAGATCAAGTGATCGTTCACTGTTGTTATATAGAAGAGAAAATGACAAGTAATCCTTTTCTGGGCGCAAGAATCTTCGAAACACAGCCTATAAAGCAGATAAAGTATATATTCTGTCAACTAGGAAACGAAAGTAGTTCATAATTATACTGAAACACAGCATTAGAGAATTGGAACAACAAAATATTAATTAGCTCTTAGGAGTTGAGTATTTAACTCACTGTTCTCTGTCCAGGGATAATTCGAGAGACGGAAGATAACTTCAGAGTTCGTTCTTCGCCATGTGAGTACCAGATTAGAGTAGTTTCATCCTGTTAATAATATGAAAATTGAAGTCATTCAAGCGGTTAAGATATGTGATAATTTTTCATGGAGATGCGCTCATAGATAGATGATCAAGGTAGTTGCTCAATCCAAAATATGTGTGTAGAACTACCAAGATACATGAGCACATGTCTGGAATAACTAAATGGGCAGCAGATGCAGCATGATAAACGCATTGGTATGAAATAAATCCAATATCCCTACTGTAAAGAAAATTACTCACAGTAGAAATTCTGAATGGACGAAGCTTTGGCTTCCCTTTTCTGCTATACTTGATTAACTGGGAACCTTTTTTTAATGCAACGAGTGCCTTCATAAGAGGGAGGAATATTAGGGGATAAGTATTGGCAAAGTACACAGAGATCAAAATCCCCAATAGACTTAGCCATATAAAAGAGAGAGCGTTGAAGGGTGCAGTCTGCGCAAAAACGCAGACAAACTATTTCCATTACTTTTATTAAATGTTTACCAAGAAATTGGGTTTCCATCAGTTCCTATCTCATATCCAAAAACATATTGTTTGAGTAGTACAGGTAACTTCAAAGGAGAAGGCTGATCCATGCATGAGAAAAAGGGGCACTTTACATCAAAATACAAGTACATATAGATCCTATTTTCATCCTCCTTCATCTATTTTTTTCTTTCTCCCCCTTTTTGTATGTGTAATACATTAATTTATTAATTCTGACATTAAAATTCAAGTATTTTTTTTTCCCTGTATGTCATCCATATCATTAGTTGCAAACTGAGCGAAAGAGTAACATTTACATTTTTATGTTTGTCATATTGTCATTGTTTCCATTACCATTGGGTTTGTATCGTTTTCAATCTACATATGCTTTGACTTATGAAACTATCATATCAAGGTCGGCCAACATGTGATCTGCATAACACAATTATAACCTAATCCTCATAAAAATACAGTCAATTACCCTCTTTTCACAACGAAAAACTGCATAAAAATGTATGGGGTGACTTTGTTTTCTAGGCAAAACAAACAAGACCAGATGATCTAAGGAAAATAAAGAGAGCTTTGATGGGAAACTGACTTGTTCAATATCACGCTCGTAATTCCCATAGCTAGCAGGATCTGCCATTCCATCTGAAACTTTCGTAAGGAATTAAACACCGAAGAAGAAGCAAGCTCAACCGACAACTGCATCGGCGACTTCCCTTCACCAGTCTTCATAGATGCATATGCTTTCTTCCACTTTGGCCTCTCATCAAAATTCCTAGTATCCTTCTAAATGAGAACCATATACATTTCAAAAGAAAAATACTTCAATTGGGTTGTTGAAATTGATAGCTTATTCAACCCTAAAGTGCCCTTCATAAAGAAATTTCCAAGGAAAAAGATGCAACCAAGTTATATATATTCACCAAAAAATTTGGCAGAAAATGTGAATATTAGATTTCTGAGCGTTTTAACAAATTGGGTCTGGCAGATTGACCATGAAGACAATGCAGATCAATCAGAGAGACAGAAATCAGAGAGAGAGAGAGAGAGAGAGAGAGAGAGAGAGAGAGAGGAGTGGAAATGAGAGGGCAGTAAGCGATCACATGTTTAGGGAAGTTTGCAGCTCAAAAGAAATGGGGGCGAGATATTGGCGCGCCTCTTTCTCTTCCTCCACGTCTAACAACGAATTAAACTGCTTTTCAAATAAATAAATAAAATTAGACCCAATCTGCCACGTCATATGATTTGGGAACTCAAATTAGTAGATGTGGATGACATAATTCATCACAAACGTAAGGTAAATAAGGCACTGCACTGGTGTGACTTACGGTAAGTAGTATAGATAACTTTAAGGACGTGTAATTAAACGGACGATAATTGTTGAATAAAAGAAAAATGTGATAAATGGACAGTGCCGAAGAGCATCCACAATCTTGCTCTTTATTTTTTTGTTAAATTTTAGCTAAAAACATATGAAAGTTGTTTTAGGAGCTCTTTATAAAATTTAAACTTCAATCATGCTCTTTGGTTTAGAGAGTCATAAATGCTATAACTCTTTTTTAATTAGTCAATCTCTATTAAAAAATAATATAAAAAATAGTTAACATTAATTAAAGGTTTGAAATACTCATTAAATAAAGCAGCATTAAATTATAGGGAGCCACTAGAAGCCCTTTCTCTCTCCTCATATTTAGAAGCTCCTAGAGGTTTTCCTATTTTAGAAGGTGAATAGGGAGCATGGTTGGAATTGTATTTTTCCGATTCCTCCTTAAAATTTGTCTAAATAGGTGGTTTAGGAAGCGTATTGTGAATGCTTTAAGCTGCCACAGCCAGACAAGGTGCACAACTATCATCGGTCGGGATCCTTTGCCAATAACTTGGAGTCTGCCTACTTCGTGGTAGCACAAGATACATGGTTAAACAAAATATTGGAGTTAAAGGTAGCAATTTTTAACATGATACAACAATTACATGAAATTAGCAGACCAATGTTGACGATATCCTGATTTTCTAACTTTACCTCATAATATATGTGAGCCAAATTGAACACGACATGACACCATTTGAGTATGTTAACCCAGGCGCTCCCATTGGTGAAAAGGGAAAGAAGAAAGAAACGAAAAATACAGAGTTGAGTTACAAATCACGACCCCGCCCTTCATACTGATCAACCTAGACAGTTTATCAAGCATGAAGACAACACTTGCGCAAATTAGAGGAAAAGAAAGAAAAAGAAAACAAAGAAGGATACAGAAAATTCCTGAAAAGGAAGTCGAGGCCTTGTTAATCTCATGCTTCTGCTCACCGCACAAAACCGGAATTCCCAAGGTCAAACAAGGGATATCATTGACCTTCGATTGTCATCTAAACCAGACATGTGAAGTGAAAACAGTAATTACACTTCCTAGGCTACTTTTTTCAAAGAATGGTAGGGTCTTTGTATCTCTTGAAAATATCTTCAATGTCAGCCACCACTTCCGGTGGCAAAGGCCTCTCTGTCAACAGAAAAGCATCAATGTCTTCCTTCAGTTGGTTCACAGAAGTTGCACCAACGATTGAACTTGTCACAAATGGACGGTCCCGTGCAAACCCAAGTGCAAGCTGAACCAGAGTTAGCCCGTGCTTCTTGGCTGTCTCGATATACTTTATTGTTGCTTCCTGAAAACAGAAAAAGTAACATTAAGGCAGAAAATCAAAAAGCTGTAATGGAAATTATCCTCATCAATCTATATTCAGAACATAAAGTAACTCGTCAAGCAAGGCAAACCAACTATTTCCAAAACATCCAGTGTACTAACTATATTTCATGCTGCTGTCCGGCCATGGTTTTTAATATATCCAATGACAAGTTGGAAGCAATCAACCTACTTGTGGGTGCGTGGTGCTAAGTTCAAAGGCCTTCTAATTAGGAGTCCTAGCCTTTAATTGCAAACAAGGGCACTTGTATCAATAATGGGATTAAATTAAATTTGAAATTTTCTTCTAATGAAAGTATAAACAGTCAGCAAGTGCTTTATTCAAATCAACAGTAAACACTGTTGATAAATCCCCATATCAGAGCAGTTCATATTTTTTTAGATAATAAAATAACTAAATATATCGTGCATGTCTGGTGTTTATTTGAATTTAGTCTACATGATCTATTATCTATATGACATGTTGAATATTAGCATACCCTGGCAACAGATTGGTTATATCTTTCCATGTAGCCAGGGAAGAGGTTCAGCCTCCCTTTTTTTGCAGCTTCGGAATTGATATCTATGTACTTTCCAGTAAGAGATCCACCAGCCAGTGGAGAATAAGCCAGTAAGCCAATGTTGTAATTTTTTGGGTGGCAAACTTCAACAAGATCAACTGCAAATAATCAAGTAATAGAATTACAAACTCAGTGAAGTTAAGAGAATGGCATACAAAAACAGGGAGGGAAAAGGTAAACATGGCATCATGTAAACATCTCTATCCAATGCACACAACAGAGGTGTCGATGAGTAAAAGCAACAGGTTGGATACACAGCCCAACCATGTCGACATCCCAATACATGAGAAGATATAGGTCAAGTGAGGTAGGTATAACTTAGCTTAGCACTCAAACAAGTAAAAGACTGTAATTTCAACAAGTTCAGCAAAGATTAGTTAAAGACAGTCAAACAAACTGACAGAACGGAAACAACTAATGAACCATGTTGTATTATTTAAATGTGTCTCAAAGGACTAAGATTGCAAATTAGTAATCAAAGAAAATGGAGGCATTTACTTTACCATTTTAGGTATAATATACTTAGTTCAAACATATTTTGATGTATTAACTAGCCTATTCACATCATGGAGTTGATATAACTATCTAAAGAGAAATATCAATAGCAAGTTTTATGTCAAGCTGACTAATATTAACGTAAAAGATTTTATCTGCTCATAGCATCAGAATATAACTTACTTTCAAAATGAGTTCTAACTAGCAGACTGTAACTGTTTTGGATACTGACGATCTTTGGTAGTCCTTCAACTTTAGCTGCATGTACAAATTCCATCACTCCATATGAAGTTTCATTGGAAACACCAATGTAGCGTACCTATACCATTCAAAAGGAATCTATATCACGTAAGTTAAAGATGCTTAGAGACATCAAGCAGTTACACAGAGCACGCAACACTCCAATTTTTAGTAACATTCATGAATCATCTCAGAAGTTATGCTTTCAAGATTCACTCTTCTTCTAGTTATGAGTGTACCAACTCATAAATCCCCAGTATGTTCCATCTACATTGATGCAGACACAACTAGGAATTCACAAAGACAAACTCAAGAGAACTATGATGCTATGTTTAAATTCACATTATAACAAGTCTTGAAAAAATTAGTAGTTTTTACATAACTTCCACCTCTGATGGCAGGTGCTTTACAGTTGAACCCTAAAGTCAAAACTTTCATTGGTTTGAATAGTTGTTACCTTTCCTTCATCAATGAGTTCTTGAAAAGCCTTCAGCTGCTCCACGAATGGCACACTTGGTCTCCATTTGGAAAAATCATAAGAATACACACCAAATAGTGGCACATAGCGATCTGGCCTGGATTAAACAAAATACTTTAGTTTTCGGAAATCACCACCTTAAACTAGTTAACATCCAGATTCTTTTTCTGAAAAGCAAAGAGCAAACATCTTCACTAGTCATTCCAACATATCATGAGACAAATTGGAAGCCTACAAATTCAAAAAGAAGTAACAGTGCTGGTTTAATGCTTAGTTTGCCTTTACCCCTGCTTTTAAGTGATTCTAAGAATGGAAATGTGAATCAATATGGGAAGGGTTCCAGACCAAATGAATGGAGAAATATACATTTTCTGTTACTCACTTATTAGTATCATTATTTCTTGCACTCCCAACCTACGTTAATTAATGATTTTCCAACGTGAAATAATTATTTCAGCTTATTTTCTTCAATGGAAATGGAAGTTACTTGTAAATTTAATACATAAAAATTGACAAACTTGTCCAATGATGTGTTAAGTGCTCATATGAATGTCACATGACCAATTTCCATTTAGAGTCTTAAAAGTTTTCGAACAGAATGGTTGGTTTGATTGCTCGATTAGGAGAGGGCAAAACAAAAAGGGAACAGCATGAAAACCAGTCCTTACCAAAGGACTCTGGTTTGCTTCATAGAAAAGATCTTCAGTTCATAGATACAAGCAAAATGTAGAGTTAAAAGACGCTTGAAATGTCTAATAAAAAACAGACTAAATAGTTGGCCCAGTCCTAAGTTCATTTGATGAGTTGTTGTGTGATACCACAAGTGGGTCAGGAAAAAAAGAACAATTTTGCAATTAGAGCGTGAGTCCATGTAAAGTTCCAGTTAAATATCAGAACGGGTATATAGCGTGTGATACTAAAAAAATCACAAACCAGGTGAGAATGTAGCATGTAAGTTTGTATAATGTGTGAAGTTTGATCAATAAACTTACCAATGAATTTGTATTAAATCAATGTAATCTGTGCCAAGGCGCTTAAGGCTTTTCTCTACACTTTCCTTAATGTTTGCAGCATCGACCCGCAAGACCGTGGCATTGTCACGCAGATAACTTATCATCTCTGAATACCCAGCTACTTTTGTTGCCAAAATAACCTATTTACACAGCATAGTAATGAGTTAAAGACAGAGTGATGATCCTTGCCTTGTTATCACTGTGAACCAGGACCGCACATTCAGACATCATTCAACCAAATCAATGGTCCTAATTCAATGTGACAACATAACCATCAAGTACCTTATCACGGGGTTGAGACTTGAGCCAGCTGCTGATAAAACGATCAGTCCTTCCCTGAGTTTCCTTCTTCAATGGAATTGGGTACTGCAACAAACAAAAAAGATTTAAACTTTAATCAAAACCCAAACGAAACAAATTTAAACTGAGGCCAACAAAAATCAAGCAATCTACAAGCACTTACAGCTTCTGCAGTGTCCAAAGCGTTAATCCCATTTTCGAATGCGTAGCTGAGAATCTCATGAGCTTCTTTCTCTGTGTTTTGCTCGCCGAATGTCATGGTTCCGAGAGTGATTTCGCTAATTACAAGGTCTGAGTCTCCGAGCTTATTGTACTGCAACGACGTCTTCTGGTCGAGCTTGGCATTGATGGTTGCTTTCACAGCGCTCCGCC